CACACTCTCTCACACTCTCACACACACACACACACACACTCTCTCACACTCTCACACACACACTCTCACACACACAGACAGACAGACAGAGAGAGAGAGAGAGAGGGGGTTTGTTCAGAAAGTCTGTCTCAACACTAGCATTGCATTCATGCACTTAAATGTCTTGTGTTTGATTACAAATGCTGCAAAAATTCTATTGGATAACACAGGGTTTCTGCTTCCACAAATTAAGGCCTGAAATGAATTTTAAATTGGAGCAGAAAGTCTTAAATTCATAAAATTGTGGCATTAAATGTTGCATGCGCTGCAAAACCTACATCTCTTCCACCGTACTTTTGTCTTGTTTTCCAGTAGAAATATCTAAACATCCTGAAATCAAGATACATTTACTGGAGATGCAGAATGAAGATATGAAGTCTTTTTTTATGAGAAACTGATCAAAATGAAGTCGTTTCGTGATCCGTGCTTATGAGTCCCGATTCGAATCAAATGATTTGCGAACCATCATTTTAGATTGTGATCATTCAATTCGCAAAATGATTTGTGAACTTGCTCCAAAGTTCTGATCTGAATCAAAAAATTCACAAGCCTGCTCCAAAATGCCGAACTGAATCAAATGATTCGTGAACCATCATTTCAGATAAGGACTTCGGAGCGTGGAGCGGGAATCATTTAATTTGCGAAATGATTCACGAACCGGCTCTGAAGTTCTGAACTCTTAGCTCATAAAACTCTTTCTCATAAAACAAGTCTTCTGATTTTGTGTCATTCTGCTTCTCCAGTAAATGTATCTTGATTTCAGAATCTATTGACATTTTCTCTGGAAAACAAGACAAAAATACAGAGGAAGAACAGCACTTTTTTTGCAGTGTGATCAGAAGTACAGTAAAAGTTATTTCCATATTCTAGTGTTTTGGAGAATGAATTCAAATGGATTAAAAAGTAATGGAAATCTATTTCAAGTTGTATTTTCAAACTTTGATGTGTTGCTAGAAGAAGACATTTATATTTAGAGAACATATTAACATGTTCCATTCAATGTTTTCATTACATTTTCTTTATTTGGTCTTAAAATAGTCTTCAATTTACCTTCATAAACCTGCAGAGACCATAAAAACCGACACAGTAGAAGATCGAAATGTACATTTATGGAGCAGATCATAAGTGTTTTTTGGTAGTCGTGATTTTAATCTTGATTATTTATTCAATTGAATCTGTGATCTCTTCATTGACTGAATCTGAAATAAAAGCC